TTTTTTTTTTTTTTTTGAGACAGGGTATCATCCTGTCACCCAGGCTGGAGTGCAGTGGCATGATCATAGCTCACTGAAGCCTTGAACTCCTGAGCTCAAGCAATCCTCCCACCTTGGCCTCCCAAATAGCTGGGACCACGGGCATGCATCACCACACCTGGGTAAGTTTAAAACAAAAAAATTTTTTTTTTTGAGACAGACCCTTTCTCTTTCGTCCAGGCTGGAGTGCAGTGGTGTGATCTTAACTCACTGCAACCTCCACCTCCTGCGTTCAAATGATTCTCCCACCTCAGCCTCCCAAGTAGCTGGGATTACAGGTGCCCACCACCATGCCCGGCTAATTTTTGCATTTTTAGTAGAGACAGGGTTTCAATATGTTGGCCAGGCTGGTCTCGAACTCCTGACCTCAGCGGATGCACCTGCCTTGGCCTCCCAAAGTGCTGGGATTACAAGTGTGAACCACCACGCCCAGCCTAAAACAAACAAACAAAAAAATTCTTTTTTAAGAGATGGAGTTCTCACTATGGACTGGTCTTACCCTCCTGGGCCCAAAATGCTGGATTACAGGCCTGAGCCACCACACCCAGCCCAAGCCAGGAGATTTTTAACAGAGGTCTTGTCCGTGAGATTGCTGAACTGCCAAATCTATACCAAAATCTGGTATTCTGCTATATTTAGCAGAAAGAAATCCCAACTTATACAAGACTAAATGAGTCTCTGAATGAGAAGAAACTAGCCAAATTTCCAAAGCCACAATGCCTTAACTTTTCGGGAAGAACCGCTCAGACTCAATCAGAGTTCAACCTCCATCATCAGGGTGATTTTTCCTTGTTACCTCTTCCGTCTTAAACCTGTTTTCTGTTACTTATAACAGAGTATCTGAGACTGAGTATTTTATAAGAAAAGTATTTTAAAAGGAAAGGAAGGTTGAGGGGCCATGTCTGGTGAGAGGGTGAGAGCCTTCTTGCTGGTGGGAACTCTGAGGAGTACTGAGATGGCTCAGGGCCTCGTGTGGGGCTGAGGGTGCTGATGTGCTAGCTCAGGTCTTTCTTTCTCTTCTTATAAAGCTACCAATTCCAGTCCTGTGATAACCCGTTAATCCATTCATCTATTCACAACGGCAGAGTCCTCATGATCCACTCACCTCTTAAGGCCCCACCTCTCCAATACTGCCACGCTGGAGATTAAGTTTCCAACACATCAAATTTTGAGGACTCATTCAAACCACAGAGTTAATGTTCACGGTAATTCTGTAACATAGTATCTTGACATCACAACTGAATGTGTTACAGAAGCCCTGTAACTATGTTATCTGTCTTTTCTTTCTGTGAAATGTTGTGAATATAATGACCTTACGATCTGCTTGTGAGCCCTATTATATGTGTGGGAGCTGCAATAAATAGGAAACTAAGGGGGTTTACTTAGCTGTGTAGTAGGGTAAACAGTGAAGGAAGGAGGCCTTCCTTTCTCCTCTCTTTGTTTTTTGTGACTTCCAATCTTACTCTCCATCTCTCTCCCCTCACCCTTCCTGATGGTCCCCTGGGCTTCCGTGGCAGGCCCGGAAACTGGGGCATAAAACTTCTTGGATGAGGCAAGTGGCCTAAACCCTGAAGTGTGGACAGAGAGGGACACAGAGGTAAAAGGGCCAAAGGTCTGTAGGCAGTGAACCTCTCTACTAAATACATTCCTGGTAGTGGACAGCACTGGTGAGGCACAGAAAGCTTCCTGCAAGTTCCAGACGAGCCAGAGAGCTGCACCCGGGAGCCACGGAAGAAGCTGTCCTTCCAAATGGCCATGGCCCATGAACAGAGCCTGAGGAGCTGAGAAGGGAGACTGGAGTGAGCCAAAGCTCTAAGTGTCCCCTAAGCCTCCAGCGAGGTCGAGATATAGCAACAGTTAGTGTGATACATGTCCATGGGCGACTCAGAAGGAATGCTCCTGCTCGGCACAATGGACAACACAAATGCCAAACTGTGAAGTGCTGCACTTCAGTTTTCTCCAGCCTCAGCGGACATGGATCCATGATTCACCGCGTTCCTGTGTTCATAGGAATGTCCCAAGGAGGCAAACATTCTGTTACCTCCCTGGCCTGCTCCTCCTTCCCGCCCACGGAGGACACAGTGTTACTTCAGCTCCTCCCTATTCTCTGCCATTGTCTACTATCTTTCCTTCCCACAGGATCAACACCTTCTCTGCTGGCTTTTGCCTCACCATCTAAACCTGCTCTGCCCTCCCCATCTCAAAACTCCATTTCGCCACTGTGTCCCCGTCTAGGGACCAGTCTCCCCTTTCCAGAGTCTCATTACCTACTTCAAGATCAATCCAACCTCCACAGTCTGCGCTGAGACCTCACCATTCCCTGACACTGATTTCCTAACTGCCAAATCCCACAGGTGGCGTTACCTCTTTGCAGCACTTGATACTTTGACCACACCCTCCTCCCTGAAATCCTCTTCTTTGGCTCCTGTGGCAGAGGCTGCTAGTTACCTGCTCAATATCCAGCCTTTCTTCATCCTTACTAACTAGAACCCCCTCCTTCACCCCTGCCCCAAGTTCCACATCTACAACATAGGCACACACGGCCTGGACATGAGCCGGGTGATCTTCTACTCAGCCCTGATATAATTCAGTAATTATAATCGCTTAATTGTAATTCCCTTTTTAACCAAAAAATTTCACGAATGTTGTTTATCAGCTTCCCCTGCAGCTAAGAAGTGGCCAGATCACAGTCTCAGCCAGTGATATCTAAGTGAAAGCTTGTTGGATGGAGCTTCAAGGAAAGCTCCTCAAGGGGGCCACACTCAGCTGCTGCATGCATGTCCATTTCCTCCTGACCCTTCCTTCCTCCTTTCTCCTCTCTGGAACAGGGCCCTGATGGCTGGGGCTACAGCAGCCATCTTGCAACAGATGGAAAAGGCTAGAATTATAAAGATGCAGATCCCGTTATCCTGCAGCTGCTGAACTAATGCTGGCAAGTGCTTATTTCCACACCCTGTTACATAAGAAAAACAAACCTCTGTCTTGTTTAATCTGCTGTTATTTGGGTTTTCTAGGATATGCCCCTGAAACTCACCTCTAACTGATACAGCTCCTGTGACTATATCACTCCTGCCTTTCCTCCTACTTCTTAAACCTCTTCAGGGCCTCTTTTCTTCTGTATCCCCTACATGTTGGTGTTATTCAGCATCTGTTCCTGGTCTTCTTCCCCCACTCTTTCCCAGTGACTCAGCAGTGCCCTCTGCTTCCCAAACCATGATGACTCCAAATCTCCATGTCTCTCCCAGGTCTTCCTCCACAGCACCAGGCCTATAGGTCTAAATGCCCAGTGAACATCTCTGCCTGCCCTTTCTACAGGAACCTCATAGACAACATAATCACAAGTTAACTCGCCAGCTTGCCCACACATCTGCTCTTCCTTCTGGCCACTGGCGCTAGAGACCCTCACCTTCCCCTCACCTCCACACCCAGCTGCTCCTGAAGTTCCATCAGATCTCTTTCCAAAAGCTCCAATTTGCTCCCACTTCTTTCATCCCACTGTCCTGTACCGACCCCCATTATCTCTTGCCTGGGCCACTCACTACCTTAGCCTCCTAACTAACTTCCCTACCTATACCATCTACCTTCCAAATTGTTGCTGCATTGGTCTTTTTAAGACAGAAATCTAATCATGTCATTTCCCTTCCTAAATTAACCCTTCAAGATCCCCTCTTCCCGTACATGAAGGCATTCCAGCACCTATGGAAGCCCAGTCCTTCAGTCTTGTCAACATCCCTTCCCTCACAGCTACATAAAATCACCATAGCAGTTTCTCAAACTTGCCATGATTTTTCTCATTTCCTTGGGGCCCTGTAGGCTGAACACTGTACAAAAATAAGGTTTTAAGTAAGCATTTAAGAGCCAGGTTTGAGCCCTTGTCTTGCTGTGGAATCCCCCACCTTTGTGCACAGAGACTTTGAGGTAAAGATGTTGGAATTCCAGAGATTCTCCATTGTTCACCTAACATAATCGCTTAATTATAATTCCCCTTTTAACCAAAGAATTTTCAGCAAGTCACTTTGAACCAAACTGATTAAAATAAACATCAGTTGCCTTTGTTTTCTTCTATATAGTTTCATTTCAATTTCATCTTCATCCAATGCAAAACATTTGCCAATTCCACACCAAAAAGGAAAGGAGATATTTTGCTTTTAATGTTCTAGGTGTGAGAGGATCATTCGTTTTCCTTCTTTCTTTCTTTTGTTTATTCTTTCTTTCTTTCTTTTTTTTTTTTTTTTGAGACAGAGTCTCGCTCTGTTGCGCAGGCTGGAGTGCAGTCGTGTGATCTCGGCTCACTGCAACCTCTGCCTCCCGGGTTCAAGCAATTCTCCTGCCTCAACTTCCCGAGTAACTGGGATTACAGGAACCCGTCACCACACCCAGCTAATTTTTGTATTTTTACTAGAGATGGGGTTTCACCACGTTGGCCAGGCTGGTCTCAAACTCCTGACCACAGGAGATCCACCTGCCTCGGCCTCCCCAAAGTGCTGGGATTACAGGCGTGAGCCATCACACCCAGCCGGATCATTCTTTTTCTTATCTGATTAAAGTTTACCTCCTAGGATCATGGAATTTTAGAGTCCAACCCCTTCATTTTCCAGAAAAGGAAACCAAGGCTCTGTCGGCTCAGGAACACAGCACCATAGAGCTGGTTATTGATGGTACACACCCGGACCCTGACTATGGATTCAGCTCTTTCCATCTCATGAAAGCACAGGCCATCCCCAACTCACAAAGGAGGCTCCCCCATCCCCTGTGAGAGGAGAGCAAAGTAGCCCCCAAATAGCCAATGAAGCCAATCCTCTTATACCACTCCTCTTAAGGCAAGATGACAACGTAAGCGCTTTAGGAAAAAAACCAAAAGAATTAAGTCCAAGGCTCTATTTGTCCTGGGAATAGAAAAGCCCTCTCCCCTCTTTTCCAACTCTGTGCCCCGCACTTGGGGCAGGTGGAGAGTCACTCACCCTCTGGGTGATGGGCTTGTCACCCTTCATCTGCACAGCCAGCCCCAGGTCAGATAACCTGCAGTTGCCGAGGTCATCCAGAAGCACATTCTCAGGCTTCATGTCCCGGTAGACGATGCCGAGTTCATGGAGGTGCAGCATCCCACAGGCTATCTGGGCTGAGTAAAAGATCACCCGGCTCATGTCCAGGCCACGTGTGCCCACGTTGTAGATGTGGAACTTGAGGTCACCCCCATTCATCAGGCTCATGACAAGGCAGAGATGGGTCTTGCTCTCAAAGGCATAGGCCAGAGAGACAATGAAAGGGCTGCTGACCTTCTCCAAGATTTCCTTTTCCAAGAGAGCCATCTTCTCACCACCTTTCTTCTTCAGCCGTTTCTTGTCCAGTTTCTTACAGGCATACATCTTCCCAGTGTTTTTCGCCTGGACAGCACATACCTTAAAGGAGAAAGAAAAGAAGAGAAAGAGGTAGAAGTAGATGATACTGGAGAGAGGTGGAGAGAAGATGATAAAGGAGGAGTTGCGTGGAAAGACGTCAGGCATTGGAGAAAGGAGAAGCTGTAAATAAGAAGTGTTCTCAAGAAAAAGTAGGGACTACAGTGAGATACTCCTTCACCTCACTAGGCAGACCTTCATAAAAAAATACAGGAAAATATCAAGTGTTGGCAAGGATGTGGAGAAACTGAAACCTTTAAGCATTGCTGGTGGGAATAAAAAATGTGGAATGTTTGGTGGCTCCTTAAAAAGTGAAACATAGTATCACCCTATGACCTAGCAGTTCCACTCCTGGGCATAAATCCAAGAGAATTGAAAACAAGTATTCAAACAAATACTTGTGCATGAATAGCAGCACCACACACAATAGCCAAATGGTGAAAACAACCCCAAATGTCCATGGACAGATGAATGGCTACATGAAATGTAGTATATCCATACAATGGAATATTATGTAGCCATAAAAAGGAATGGAGTACTGACACATGCTACAGTGTGAATGAACCCCCAAAACAGTCTAATGAGTGAAAGAAGCTGGACACAAAAGGTCACATATTGTGTGAAACATCCAGAATAGGCAAATCCCTAGAGACAGAAAGCAGACTAGTGGTTGCCAGGGCTGGAGGAGGAGAGGGATGGGGAGGCACTGTTAATGGGCACAGGGATGATGAGAGTGTCTTGGATCTAAATTGAGGTGTTGGTTACCCAACATTGCATATGTGCAAAGTGCCACTGCACTGTACATTTTGAAATGGTTAATGGTTAGTTTTATATCAAATTTTATCTGAAATTTTTTTATTACTTAAAAACAGAAAGCTGGGCACAACAGTGGTACAAAACAGGTTCTCAACCTTACTTCTAGATGAGTGTTTTCTTTCTTTCTTTCCTTCTTTCTTTCTTTTTTTTTTTTTTTTGAGAGAGAGTCTCACTCTGTTGCCCAGTCTGGAGTGCAGTGGCATGATCTCGGCTCGCTGCAACTTCCACCTCCCGGGCTCAAGTGATTGTCCTGCCTCAGCCTCCTGAGTAGCTGGGATTACAGGCATGCTACCACACCTGGCTAGTTAGAGTGTTTTCTTAAATATCCATTTTTCTGGTAGTACCTTCATAATCACAATTTAGGGGAAATGGAGATCTTCTGTCACACGTTGCTATCATTCTCCAAAGTGTCCGGGCATCTCAGCACGTTCCTGATGGAGACCCATGACAGAGTCTTGGCCAAGTCTACATTTTGCTTGTCTCTCTCATGCCATTTGTGTTTTATTTCACACCATGGCTACAAGGAAGGGGGCTGGGGAGACGGGGCTAGAAATCCTCCACATGTGGTCCTGAAATTAGTTCTAAGTAATGAGATTAAAAAAAAGAAAGGCAGCATTACCCCCTTTCATGCTCTCTGTTTCACCTTCTAGCCTGGCTACTGGGCGACACTTACCTCCCCAAAACCACCTTTCCCCAGCACTCTGAACTCGGTGAAGTACTTGTCTGACACCGGTTGCATCTCAAAGAGTTTCCACTGCAAAAACTTGTCATAAAAGGGGCTGGTCAGGAAATCCTTAAAGGGCTGCTCTTGCAAGAAGGCCATGGCCTCAGACTTGGCCTGTGTCACTGCGGCCACTCGGTCTTCCTCGGTGGTGGCTGCTTGGCACTTGGTGGCCATAGCCTGGCTGAAGAAGGGGTGTGGGTTCTCTGGGGCAGGGCCACTCGCACAAGCGGCCACCAGCCCCTGCAGCGTGCTGTCCTTGGTAGGTCCCTCCTCAGCCAGCTCCCAGTTCTGCACGTCCTCTAGGAAGGTTGCCGCCTCACGGAACGTGGGCACAGTGGCTAGGAAGTCACGGAAGAGGCGGCGACCAATGGGCTGCTGCTCACACAGGCTGTGGAAGTTCGGGGACAGCTTCTGGCGGAGCTCCGCGCAGCCCTGCAGCCCGGGCAGGGCCAGGCTGCGCCGCCGCCGCTGCAGCTCCTTGCTGTCGCAGTCCGAAGGCTTCCGGGCCTGCAGGTAGGCCGTGTTGGCGATTAGGTTGTCCAGGGCCCCCATGTCCACCATGGCTGAGCACGGGGCACACTCCCAGGGAAAGCACAAGAGGACTGGAGGGCTGCTGGCTGCTTTCCCTTCCCCGGGTGAGACAACGTCCAGGGGATTTACAGTGAGCCCTGTGGCCTGCGGGTAGGACCCATGGAGGGTGTGAAAGAGGTTTCTCTTGTAAGAAGCTTTGACTGGCTATGTATAGCCCGCCGGGAACTGCACATGACAGGTCATGCTCCCACCTGCCAAGGCGAAAGCCACTGGGACACCTGCTGGGGCCACCTCCCCCACTGGCCCCTTCATCTTAGCGTCTTTCTCCACATAGCCCTGTACCCTGAATATCTAGCTAGAACCATGTTCCAAGGAAGTGATCATACTGTTGTCATCTAATTTGTTGCTGATGCAGTAGTTTAATCTGTTTCTAATTTTACTTGTTTCCTACCAGGCTCAAGCTTTGTAAACTCCTAGGAACAGCAGGTCAGGCAGAGGAGCAGTTTCCTCCCAGGGTCTAGCAGCCTGACACGAAGAGCAGGTTGGAGGGGATGTTTTGAGCTTTGAGTCCCGAGATGTGTTCCCAGAGGCCCTAAGGACTCCAGTGTTGGCCAGTGCAGATGCACCCTGAATAGCTTGCAAAAATCCTCCAGCCTTCTTAGCTCTGAGGAGTCTGTGACCTGGAGTACCTTGGGTTAAAAGAGGGGGCCATCTCCACCCAAAACGTACCATGGAGCAGTAAGCAGAAAAAGCCATATTCCTGAAATGAAGGGAGTTGGCCTGGAGTGTCTGGGCTCTGAATGAGACAAGAATTTTCCATGATCCCAAAGACAGAAAGCACGTCACTCCCGGCATGCGGTCGCGACTGTTCCAAGGGCACAATCTAACAAGCAGACTCTGAATGCTGAGGAGCCTTTGCGAGGAGACCAAGAGCAGTGAAGTTTCAGACGTGGCCCCTTGACATCTTTGCCCATGCACCCCACCAAGCGAGGAAGCTTCCCTCAACGGAGGATGCTCGGAGCTGTCACAGACCTCGGCCTCATCGAGACGGAAATTGATCTAGACAGAGATCAGGCTAAGAACCTCTGCTCCAAAAATAACAACCTGTGTCCCACAGGGAAAGGATACTCAGGCTTTTTCTTCACAAAGCAAGGCTAAGGCAGCTTAAAAACAAAGTCATTCAGTATTATGCCAGAGTGTTTACAAGGGGAAAAAAAGAAAGAGGGAGAAGGAGGGGAAAAAAAGCTGGTCAGTCTTTTTCTAAACAAACAACCGCTAGCATACACTTTGTGAAAACATAGTCATGACCGCCTTGCTCTGCCTGTCAGAACCTCCGACTGTTCCCCTAGAGCAGATACACACTTGGTCTCATGCTACCAGGAATTATGTAATGAACTCGTGGGTGCCCTTTGGCTTTGCACCGCTGCGCTGGAAACTATCACCTCTGCCGTGGAGTTGGGTGATCTGCACTGGTGCCCACTGCTCTGAACCATGCTGCCTGCTTTGAAACCCACACAGGAAATGTTGGTACTTTTCTGTTCTTTATGTTACCCTGGTCCACATTGTTCAGTAGTGAAAAATTGGTCTGAGAATTTCTTCGGAGGAACAAATGCCTTTTCCCGTGGTTCTTAGGAATGTAGTGGCAACCTAGGAGGGTAGAACCTTGAGAAAATGGTAGCATTGATATCACAGAGATATTTAAGCTTATCACTGGGGAAAAACATGCTTTCACTGGTGAATATGTATGCTATGAACTCCTTGAAGGTCTATTTAAAATGAAACATTTTCTTTTCCTTTTTTTTTTTTTTTCTGTTTTGAGACAGGGTCTCACTCTGTTGCCCAGGCTAGTGTGCAGTGGCTCAATCTCAGCTCACTGCAGCCTCGACCTCCTGGGCTCAAGGGATCCTCCCACCTCAGCCTCCCGATTTGCTGGGACTACAGGCATGCACCACCACACCTGGCTAATTTTTGTATTTTTAGTGGAGACATATTGCCCAGGCTGGTCTCAAACTCCTGGCCTTACGTAATCCACCTACCTCGGCTTCTGAAACTGCTGAGATTACAGGCATGAGCTACCATGCCTGGCTGGATTGCTTTCTGTGATTGTTTTCTGTGATTGCTACCAATAGGATCCAGAGCTTTTCCCAACTTAATGAAACAGTAGTTATAGGTTCAACTAAAGAACAGCATTGAATTCTTATATTAGAAGCAGAGCACGCACTTTGTCAAAAGTGCTGGGCACAGTCAGCATCCCTTGCACCAAGTGGGGAAACGTACCAGAAACCTGGGGTTGGAGATGTGGCCCAATAGTTACGAGCACTAAGTCCAGCACTGCTTGGGAAATCTGAATCCTGGCTTTAGCAAGTCCTAGCTGTGTGACTTTTAGCAAGTTACTTAACTTCTCTGAGCCTTAGTTTCATTATTTATAAAACAGGTAATAAATGTTGATTCTTGGGTAAGCTTTGAGAGAATTAAATGCCAAATGCCTGGCACAAAGAAGTGATCAAAAGTACTAGCTTTTAAACCACGACCATCACATCAGGTGCGGTGGCTCACTCCTGTAATCCCAGTACTTTGGGAGGCCAAGGTGGGTAGATCACGAGGTCAGGAGATCGAGACCGTCCTGGCTAACACGGTGAAACCCCGTCTCTACTAAAAATACAAAAAAAATTAGCTGGGCGTGGTGGCGGGTGCCTATAGTCCCAGCTACTCAGGAGGCTGAGGCAGGAGAATGGCGTGAACCCGGTAGGCAAAGCTTGCAGTGAGCTGAGATCACACCACTGCACTCCAGCCTGGGTGACAAAGCAAGACTCCATCTCAAAAATAAATAAATAAATAATAATAAATAATAATAATAAATCACGACGATCAATCATCAAAATTTAGTCCAAAATTCTGCTTTTCTAATATGCAGATTGGAGAGGAGAAAGGCCTAAGGGATATAGAAGAAGATGGGTTCCTGTGTCCCATGCACAACTAGTATAGCGCAGCCAATTCAGTATTTGCACGGGACCTTGGAAAGCTGTGATGCCCCATGCAGCTAGAAGACAGGGAGGTAAGATTTGTTAAACATCATGCAAGATTTCTAACACACTATTGTAACTCAACAATTTACTATATTCCACCACAAAAAGAAGACTAACCTCTGTCATATGAAAAGAGGATATATTTCTTTATTTTTATTTTATTTTTTCGATTTTTTTTCAATTTGTTTTCTTTTTTCTTTTTTTTTTTTTTTTGAGACAAAGTCTCGCTCTGTTGGCCAGGCTGGAGTTCAGTGATATGATCTCAGCTCACTGCAACCTCTGCCTCCCAGGTTCAAGCAATTCTCGTACCTCAGCCTCCCAGGTAGCTGGGATTACAGCCATATGCCAACACGCCCAGATAATTTTTGTATTTTTAGTAGAGATAGGGTCTCACCTCATTGGCTAGGCTGGTCTTGAACTCCTGACCTCAAGTGATCTGCCCGCCTCATCCTCCCAAAGTGCTGGGACTACAGGTATGAGCCACTGCACCTGACCTCAACTTTTATTTTAGATTAAGGGATGTTTCATTTTGAATGAAAAATCATAACTTTTATGATAGTAGAAAGCAATTTCAATATTTTAGTATTTTTGGGACCCATTTTGTAACCCAGGGAAAAGAAAAAAGTGCTCTTGCCCAGGCCTTTCATTACCCTTTGCATCATTTAAAGCATTATTAATGCTGTACATGTTCTTAATTTTAAAATTTTCTCTCTGAAAATACATCCTAAGATTAACTGTTTAAGGAAAATAGTAAAGCTAAGTTTCTAATAAGAAACTGACCATCCTTTAAAATGCACAATTCTCTGCATGGTCCAATAGCACATCTATTTGAAGATCAAGAATTAGAAAGTAATATAGGGCAGTGCTATATGGTCTTAGAAACACAGAGAAGCTATTTTGAGCAGTGTAAGTTCTGAAGCAGACTAATATGTTAGCATTAAAATACCCAAAGAGGCTAGACATGACGGCTCATGCCTGTAATCCCAGCACTTTGGGAGGCTGAGATGGGTGGATCACGAGGTCAGGAGTTTGAAACCAGCCTGGCCAACATGGTGAAACCTCATCTCTACTAAAAATACAAAAATTAGCTGCATATGGTGGCATATGACTGTAATCCCAGATACTTGGGAGGCTGAGGCAGGAGAGTTGCTTGAACCTGGGAGGCGGAAGTTGCAGTGAGCTGAGATCGTGCCACTGTACTCTAGCCTGGGCAACAGAGCAAGATTCTGTCTTGGGAAAAATTAATTTATTAATTAAATAAAATAAAACAAAATACCCAAAGAACCCAGGTTGTTCTTTAGCTTCAAGTTGTTAATAGTTTAACAACTTTTGTTGTTGTTGTTGTTTAAAAATAGATTTAGGGGCTGGGTGCAGTGGCTCATGCCTATAATCCCAGTACTTTGGGAGGCCGAGATGGGTGGATCACCTGAGGTCAGGAGTTTGAGACCAGCCTGACCAACATGGTGAAACTCCGGGTCTACTAAAAATACAAAAATTAGCTGGGCATGGTGGCGGGTGCCTGTAATCCCAGCTACTTGGGAGGCTGAGGCAGAAGAACTGCTTGAACCCAGGAGGCAGAGGTGGCAGTGAGCCTAGATCGTACCACTGTACTCCAGCCTGGGTGACAAAACAACACTCAGTCTCGAAAAAAAAAAAAAAAAAGATTTAGGGGGTACAAGCACAGTTTTGTTATATGGCTATATTACATAATGATGAAGTCTATGTGTTTAGTGTAGCCATCACTTGAATAATGTACATTATACACATTAAGTAATTTCTTATCCCTTACCCCTACTCCCACCTTCCTACCCTCCCATCCTCCCTAGACTTCAGTGTTTATTATTCTACTCTCTATGTACATATGTACATGTTATTTAGTTACTGATTATTGAGAGAGTACATGCTGTATTTGACTTTCTCTTTCTGAGTTGTTTCACTTACATAATAATGGCTTCCAGTTCCATCCACATTGATGTAAAAGACATGATTCCATTCTTTTTTATGGCTGAGTAGTATTCCATGTACGGATGTATACACATACACATGCACGCACACACACATACACACACACTCACATTTTCTTTACCCAGTCACCCATTGGTGAATACTTAGGTTGATTCCATATCTTTGCTATTGTGAATAGTTCTGTGATAAACATATGTGTGCAGATATCTTTTTAATATAATGATTTATTTCCCTTTGAGGAGATACCCAGTAGT